AAAAAAAAAAAATCAGGGGAATTTTCCTTCCTCTTTTTATGTTTTAGATGTAGACTATTTATTCAAATCCTTTCGTAGCAAAGGGCAAATTATTTATTGTACATTATTTTCATAGAGTAAATAAAAGTCTTTATAAAAGCGACCAACTCATGCTTGCTCTGGATTTCATTCCAGAGAAGCGCTTTTTTTGTGGTTAATTTTTTTTGTTTTCCTCCATAAATCATTCGCTTCTTCCCTGCTTTGTAATGAGGTTTCAAAATCTCCTCGTGCGCCCTGAGAGGAGACAAAAGAAATCGCTCCCAGCCAACAATTCCAGAGGAATTCCGGGAAATATTCCCTGGATTCTGGTTTCATTCTCCTCCTTGGTGTTCATTTATTTATTCATTTATTTATTGATTTTATCCCATCAAAGCGGGGTGTTGCTTCGAGGAGGGGAAAATCCTTGAATTTAAGGGGAAAAAAATAAAAAAAAATCCAAATAAAAAGCAAAAATAAAGGGGATAAAGGGATGGAAAAGCAACACAAAGGCAGCGCGGAGCCCACGCGAATTCCGGGGCCGTTCCCGGCCTCCCACACCCCGATCCCGCCCTTCATCCCCATCCTCCTCCTCCTCCTCCTCCTCCTCCTCTTTTCTCTCAGAGCCCACCGCAATTCCCGGCCTTGGAAACGTCCGGAGCTGCAAAAACACGAGGGGAAACAAGAGGATTTTTGGGGTCAAAACTCAAAAAAATGAAAATTTTTCCACGCGTTGGGGGTCACCAAAAGAACGGGAGAGGAGGAGGGGTAAGGGATGGGCCTGGGGGGTTTTCTTTATTTTTGCACCCCCAAAAACCCAAACTCCTTTTATTCCTCCCCAAAATCCCCCTTTATTCCTCCCTCATTTTCCACCCCCAAAAACCCCAAAATCCCTTTTATTGCTCCTCTTTGACCACTCCATATACGCCACATCCCTTTTATTCCTCCTCTCTTTTCCACCCCCCAAAATCCCTTTTATCCCTGCTCTCTTTTCCACCCCCAAAAGCCCCAAACCCCTTTTATTCCTCCCCCAAAATCCCCTTTTATTCCCCCCCTTTTCCAACCCCAAAATCCCTTTTAATGCCCCTCTCTTTACCAACCCCACAAACCTCAAACCCCCTTTTATTGCTCCCTTTTCCACCCCCAAAAACCCCAAAATCCATTTTATTCCTCCTCCCTTTTCCAACCCCAAAAACCCCAAAATCCATTTTATTCCTCCTCCTTTTTCCAATCCCCAAAACCCCAAAATCCATTGTATTCCTCCTCCCTTTTCCAACCCCAAAAACCCCAAAATCCATTGTATTCCTCCTCCCTTTTCCAACCCCAAAAACCCCAAACCCCCCGGATTTGTGGTCTCTTGGATCCCTTTCAAATCTTCCTCCCCACGCAGGATTTGGAACCCCAAAACCCATCCCAGGAGGGATTTGGAACCCCAAAACCCATCCCGTGAGGGATTTTAATCCCAAAACCCATCCCAGGAGGGATTTTAACCCCAAAACCCATCCCGGGAGGGATTTTAACCCCAAAACCCATCCCAGGGGGGATTTTAACCCCAAAACCCATCCCGGGAGGGATTTTAACCCCAAAACCCATCCCAGGAGGGATTTGGAACCCCAAAACCCATCCCAGGAGGGATTTGGAACCCCAAAACCCATCCCAGGAGGGATTTTAACCCCAAAACCCATCCCAGGGGGGATTTTAACTCCAAAACCCATCCCGGGAGGGATTTTAACCCCAAAACCCATCCCGGGAGGGATTTTAACCCCAAAACCCATCCCAGGAGGGATTTGGAACCCCAAAACCCATCCCAGGGGGGATTTTAGTGTTTTCAGTGCCTGGGCGGGATAATATCCCCTTTTTTAGGGAACACTCAGAAAATTTGGAATTTTTTACTTGGGGTTAAAAGTGGCAGAGCCGGGGCTGGGTTGACACTATTAAAAAAATTAAAATAAATAAATAAAAAATTAAAATAAAATAAAGAAATAAAAGGGAAATAAAAGGAGGCGAAGGCTCGACAGATGTTTTGGAAATCGCTGTGGATGATCTCTCTCGGCTCTAACAAAGAGGGGGCGGGCTGATTTTACAGCCACCTTTTGACTCCAAAAAATCTTTTTTTTTCTCCCCCCCAGAAAAATCTTCTCTCCAGGAAAAAACGAGCCGGCAATCCCAAAACCTCGCTCCGGGAAACGTTTTCATCCGGATCCGATATCCGCGAATATTTCAATATTTAAATCCCTAAACCACCTTCCCACGGAGGGGGAAAAAAGCGAATTTTGCTGCCGGGAGCCTTCAGCACCCCCCTACCCTTCTCCCACCGCTCCGAGAGTCCCCGAGCCGAGAGTTTTGGGGAGGAAGAGGAGAAAAATGAATTTTTGGGGGTTTATTTAATATCCCCGGCTGCTGCAGAGCGCTCGGCGGCCGCTTTGGGGCTGCCAGATTTTGTCTATCAAAGCGCCATTTGTTCTGCGCTTCCACATTTCTGCTCCTCCTCCTCCTCCTCCTCCTCCTCCTCCTCCTCCTCCTCCTCTTCCTCCTCCTCCTCCTCCTCGGCCCTGCCTGGTTTTGAGCTGGTTTGGGGTCTGAGCATCCTTTTGGCCTCTCCAGAGACGGCTCCGCCTTTATCCAGCTGAAAAATGAGGGAAAAAAAAATCAAAAAAGCGGCAGATTTACATTTTTAGATTAGTTAAAAATGAGGGGGAATATCCCAAACCAGAAAATTCCCATATTTAAATGCTCTTCAGTCTAAAAATGAGGGGGAATGTCCCCAAACAGGCAAATATCCATATTTAGATGCTTAAAAAATTAGGGGAAATATCAACAGACTGGCAAATTTCCACATTTAAATATTCTTCAGTCTCAAAATGAGGGGAAATGTCCCCAAACCAGCAAATTTCCATATTTAGA